CTCCCCTCCTAGGATTTTGTTTTCAGCCCCAGATCATTTATTTATTTAAAACATTTTTATGCCGCCCCCATCGCAATGAAGCCTCGGGGCGGCTTACAACAAAAACAAAGATTATACAATAAAAATATTAAAACCCAGTGCATCTGGCTTAAAAAATTTAAAATCCTACAAATAGCCAATAAATTAACACTTAAAATAAGTTTTAAATAAAAAGGTCTTAGCCTGGCACCAAAAAACAAATAACGATGGTGCCAGGAGGACCTCTCTGGGGAGCGCATTCCATAGATGGGGTGCCACAGCAGAGAAGGCCCTCCTCCGGGTACTCACCCTCCTAATATCATTCACAGAGGTTTCCTGGAGAAGGGCATCTGTTGCTGATCTCAAGGGGCGGGAGGGCATATATGGATGCAAATTTTCCTTTAGATACCCAGGACCCAAGCCATTGAGGGCTTTATAGGTCATAACCAGCACCTTGAATTGGGCCTGGACTTCAATCGGGAGCCAGTGGAGCTGACAGAGAACTGGGGTTATATGAGAACAATGCCCAGTCCCCGTCAGCAGCCTGGCAGCTCTATTCTGCACCAGTTGAAGTATCCGGACCGTCTTCAAGGGTAGCCCCATGTAGAGCACGTTGCAGAAATCTAATCGGGAAGTTACCAACGCGTGTGTCACTGTCGCCAGGCAGATGATTTAAAACAAAATCATCCTTGTTTTAAATACCTAAAGGAGCACTTACGTCCAAGCGCTCCCTTGAGATCAGCGGGAGAGGCCCTCCTCCGGGAACCCTCTGTGAAGGATATTAGGAGGGTAAGCACCAGGAGGAGGGCTTTCTCTGCGGTGGCACCCAATCTATGGAATGCACTCCCCAGAGAGGTCCGCCTGGGGCTGTCGTTATTTGCTTTTCAGCACCAGGCCAAGACCTTTTTATTTAAACGTCATTTTAATTGTTAACATTATTTATTGATTTTATATCTTTGGCCAGGACATCTCCAATTATATTGTTATTATATTGTTTTTATATGGTTGATATGTATTTATTTATTGTTGTGAGCTGCCCCAAGGCTTCGGCAAATGGGGCGGCATAGAAGCTCGCTAAACAATAAATACAGAGAATCATTTTAATCACAATCTTGTCAATTGTCCTGGAGGGAGGGTAATGACCAGGTAATTTTACTTCCCTAGGATTGTTTGGAATGAGCATCATGGGAGCATCATGTGACGTGCCTGAGTCCAGCATGTAAAAATGCCTCATGTCAGTCTCCCCGCTTGCTAACCTTTTCCTGGAAAATCTCTTGTGCCTTTCAGCTTTGCAGTTTGTGCAGAAATTAAAGAGGAACTATTACTCTGCAAAGTGCTGGGAAGGTGAATAGCTCATTCTGCTGTAAAAACTACCGGAGAAACAAAAAGCGCCAAAGTGATCCAGCCCTCGGCAAGTACATGGAACATTTGCAGAACTGAATTCCAGCCAGTCGCACTGCCACAAGAAGCAATGCCTGTTTCATCAGATCATGTCACTCTTTGTGGTCACTGAAAGCCCCTCTTGCATTAGAGTTGTGTGAAGGGGAGAGCTGCACACACCAGCACCTCGCCAGCATTGTCCGGTCACCTGGTCCCACTACTGGGGGACAGGCACTTACAAAGAGGACTGACAATGGCAGTGCAGGGATCTTAGCACTGCGGAGAAGACCGACCAGGGCTGGGGTGGGCAGAAACTAGCTCTCCAGATGCTTTAAATGTCAACCCACCGCTATCCTCACTGTTGGCCATGTCTTCTTTTAAATCCTGCCTTGTTGCACAAGCCGGCGAAGTGGGTTCAGCTGAAAGGTGGTGCCCGGCCCAACGTCACCCAGTGGGCTCCACAGCAGAGTGGGGATGCGAACCCAGACTGCCCGAGACCCAGATCTGCACTCTTAGCCACTGCGCCACACTGACATGGGCTTCCAGGCGAGGAGGTTCAAAGCATCAGTGCTGCCTTCAGCCCGCCCCTGGGCTGGGGGACCAGCGAGCCTCTCAGCCTGTGGCACTAACTGTGGACAGGCAGTTATCCACTCTCATCTTAAACTTCTTAGACCTTAAGCAAAGAGAAGCATTGTTAACTAGAGACTGTGCTCTTCCAGCTTTCCAAAAGGAAGGACCACCCTCTGCAAAGTCCACATATTTGTGGAGAAGATCCAACTGGGCAGCCTGCTGTGGAGCGAGAGGCCTTCTGCATGACCTGGGGTGCTGCATGGGTTGTGTTCCAAGTCATACAGGGGAGCCAAGAGCCAGCATGGCAGAGTGTTGAGCCGGCACCTGGGAAATCCGGGTTCTAGTCCTCACTTGGCCATGAGGTTCACTGAGTGCCTTTGGGCGAGTCACTGACTTTCAGCCTCCCCTACCTCGCAGGGTTGTTGTGAAGATAGAACAGAGAGGAGGGTTACGCAAGCCACCAAAGGTGGGATATAACTAGAATAAATAGTGTAGTTCAGTGCATACGAAGCATGAAGGGCAGGCCCTCGCCTTCATATCTTCTCTGCACCTGTGTGGGGGACAGAGCTGCAACAGAGGGGCTGAGCAGCACTCCTGGCCACACTGGTTCCCTCCCGCAAGCTACCTGTGTGAGGCGTGGGCAGCACTTACAGCAGGCATAGCTGGCTTTGCTCCCCTTCTCACCATCGCCTCCCTGATCTGCTCATTCATCTCGCCTGCCCTGGCCTACAGAATGCACACCACTGCCTGCCTTCTGGCTCTCTGTCCAGCAAGCAAGCGCTCAGTGAGAGGGTGTGGGAAGGAAGCGCAGCTGGCGCTAATGCTGTGAGAAGGTAGACTCAGAGGGAGGAAGCCCCTGGAGGGTGTCTTGCTCAGAGGTGCTCCAGAACCGAGTGCGAATGGTCTGGATGGGGCTTGTGTTGTAAAAAAAACCCAAACCAAACCAAGAATTCTAGCTGTGCTCCAAAGCGGATGAGAAAAAGCTGCCTATAAAGAAACAGCCCTTCTCTTGAGTTTAATTGTCCCCATGAGGGATGATTTTGTTCTGAGCCACAGTTAAATTCTGCTATGAGAACTGGACCACCAACATGGCAGACAAAATGGCTTATATTCAGACCCACACATTTGAGGACAGTGCCTAAACTCATCCTTGATTTGTTTATATCTGTTCCATCTGTCATACATTCGCTGAAAGTGCTCAGTGAGGAGCAACTTACAGCTTTGGAGTAGCGGGTGCTTCTGCGTATACATTCTTCCCAGTGAATTTGTGCAGCTATCCCTCAAGCACTGGAAGCCAAGGAGAATTCTTCTTAAAACTGACATATGGCAGGCCGAAGGCAACAGTTTGAGAATATCTGAAGTGTGCTATTTTTCTAAATCACCGCAAAGCATTGCTACTGTACAAGTGCGAAGAATCAAACACAACACCCACAGATCACGAATATTTATGACAACAGAGCCTTTCAGTCAGGGTGGCCACGATGGAGAACTGGACTGCCGTCACAGGTTGCATGGTCTGCTAAGCCAGAGGTCCAAAGAGGGTCTCACACCAGGTTTGAGCCTTCCGTGACAGCTGTCATGAACTCATTCAGTCATCTGTGGAAATTTAATTGCTCCAAAGCTTTTCAGGCGGTACTGAACCTGCCATTCCATGGCCAAGCCATGAAACGAAGGAGGAGAAAGCTCTCAGAGGGGAGTGTTGAATGCAGTGGATGGCACGGCATCTCTCTTGGGTCCCTGTATTCTAAGGCAGCAATCCATGGGGATTGTTGATGCGTTCATCCGTGGGGGTGGAAGAGAAGAGAGAGGTTTCAAGGTTCCATGACTGACAGCACTTTGCCCTATCTGTGCTGGGAAATGTCACTTCCAGGGACGGAAAAAGAGAAAGACGTCTCTCAGAAGCTACAGAAGTTCTGGAAAAAAAGTGAGACAGAATTTATATTTCTGTTTCTGCATACCCATCCTGTGTACCTTGTAAGCCTTCTTATTCTTGCCATCTCCATCCATTCTTCCAGTGAACATACATTAAGATAACAATTCATTTTTTATTCTGGATTCATTGCTATGGAATAGACACCTGGGGTTGCCAACTGAGGTCACTTTCTCACGGATCTGACAAGGAAAAGCATGTTCTGTCTGGTCATTTCTGCTGTGCTCTGAAAAGCTGGTAAACAAGCAGACATTTTTGAAACCAAACATTAGGAGTCTTAAATTTTCTTCTTTTGTCATAAGAGAAGTAAGGTTTTTTGGCCTTTCCCAGGGCTGGAGATGAGAAGGATGTTGTTGTTGTCGTTGTTGTTGTTGTTGTTATAACATTTCTATGCCTCCCCTTGCCGAAGCCTCGGGGCGGCTTACAACACAATAAAATACATTGAAATACAATAGAACATAATAAATTACCACTAAATACAAAAATACAAAAAATACACTGAGATACAAACATAATAATATAAAATTAAAATTAACAGTATAAAATAAGTAAATAAAGAATATAGGAGGAGAAAAGAGAAGGAAGAAGTTGTTGCCCTGGCCAGATCATATATTTTAACAATTAAAATGATGTTTAAATAAAAAGGTCTTTACCTGGCGCCGAAAAACCAGTAATGACGGTGCCAGGCGGACCTCATTCGGTTCCCAAATGCCTCAGGCAGCTACACAACCATAATAAGAAATTATGATACCAGATGCCTGATGCCTGCAAACAGATCTATGTTGCCATGCTGTCATTCAGCAGCACCAGTCCCTGGTCTCTTTGGGCCTGGTACTCCCATGCACATTTTTGTCCTGAATAAAAGCACTCCTGTTTTCTCTTTCTGCTCTCCTTGTCCTAAATTATTTTCTGTAGGGCCCAAGCCCTAGAGGATGAATTTCTTTGCAAAGGATTATCCCTTGAATCTTGTTTGGGAGATCTGTGGATGTGGGCAAATATATTTCAAAGTTCTTAACTCCAACTTCTCAGCAGATCCATAACCGGTTTGCAAACTTTAAATCTAGAACTGAAGCTGCGTAAACTACGTCGCGCTATTGCAACCATGATGTCACCTGAAAACTTCTCACAGTCCAGTAGCAATCCTTCAGGTAGGTTAATATAATAGCATTCATATTAGTAAGAACCTTCTCCCAGCGGCATACCATGTCACATATTAGGTAGCTGTGACTGGGAAAAGAATATTTTCAGTTGTGGTACCCCAAAATGCTTTTCTGGCTCCAACATAGTGACCTCCAGCCCCCAGGTGAAAACCTTTATTTACCCACCCTTTGAAAATGTCAAAATTCTGGTGAAACCATGCACTAATTATATTATTTTAATTATTTAATTATCTGATCTACAGATTTTACTGTTCTACTATTTTGTCTGTTCTGTCGTATATGGTATAGGGCTTTGCGATTATTAATTTGCATTTGCAAGTTCTCTTGGAAGGTAGCTAAAAGCTTGCATACAAATGTTTCAGGGTGCAAACTGATAAGCACAAAGTGCTGGCTGGATGGCCACCAAAAAATTAGGAGCTCCAGTCCTGAGCACGCCAAGCCTGGAGTTGTAGCAAAAGGCTGCCATTCACTGGGTGGAGAGGAACTCTTTGAGACTGAGGATGTGTTGACATCCTGAACCTGGGTGGCTTACAAACCAATCGAACAATATTTGGCTGGAACTTTAAACTTTGCATTGAAGAGGAGCTGGGAAAATTGAAGAGGCCTGGTGCTCATTAAGTGAAAATAAAGACTTCTTAGGAGTTTTCTAGAAGGGCTGTGGAATCCAGTGGCTGGGTGCAAATGAATTCTTGACACTTATTTGTGGGTAGAGGAGATAGGAGACCGTTTTATCAGATTGCTCCAGGATGAGAAGAATTTTTCACCCATTTCCCAGTTAGCAGTGACAGACACAAAGCTGCATGGTCCTTTCCTAAGGTTTCTTTTTTGCTGCCACTGAGAGGGGAGCCCCACCAGGTTCAACGAGGTCTCCTCCCAAATGAGTTTGCATTGGGTTGTAGCTTTAATGCCTGCTGAATCCAGCCGAACAAGCATTCATAATGAAACCAATCCATGTGGTTGACATGGCCTCTGATCTCAGTTCTGATGAGACTGAAGAAACAATGGAAAGTCCGTGACTGGTCATCAGGGTGATCTTCCTGATGACAGTTAGCCAATGGCAAGGCAGAACAGGCCTGCTTTCAGCCCACCCTCCTGGTGCACTCTGGGAATGATGTTGTGAAGCACAGCACTGGAAGCATCTTCCAGAAGGACAATGTCGTCCTCCACTAATGGGGAATGCCCAAGATGTCAACACAGTGAGTCATCAGAGTGAAGAATAAGGCTAATGGAATAATTCAAACATCTTCCATCTGCCATCAGTCTAAGCCAGGTATTGCCAAAAAAAAAAAAAAAGGTAATACAAATGTCTACTCATAAATTTTACATAAATGTCTGCTCATTCCACGTAACTATGGAGGGACACAGATGTTTCTGAAGCTTAGTAGAATTTCTTAAAAGACTTTTTTTGAAGGCAAGGGGGATTCCCTTTTTCCTTTCTCCCCCACCCCTTAAATATATTCTCTGCTATTTTTTTTAAGGGCTGCCTTTGTTCCCCCAACGTCCCAGTGCCCTCAAACAACACTGATCTCATTACATTGTGAAGTATGCAGAACGGTGGCCAGGCTGATGTTGCAACAATGAAAAAAGAGAAAAGCTTGGCTGCTGCCACAGCAAATGTTGTACCCACTCTGAGGGAAATCGAGGATGTGCTCCTCCCCTTGGAGAAATTTGGTGAATATCCCCCTCCCATCAATTTTTCTCCCCACAAATAGGGTGAAGAATCTCAAGTGGGCATTTGTGTGCACTGAAACCCCAGCATCTTCAGGGATGCGGCCTCAGCAAAGCTAGGAAGCGGCCTCTGCCTGCCTACTGACAAACTCCCAAAATTAATTTGGAGGGACATTTATCTAAGTTCTAGTGGAAGTCAGGATAGCAAAATGTTCCAAAACAAATGTAAGTGAATGATGTCAAAAGAAGTCTGCTTCCCTCTGCTGGTTTTGCTTGAGAAACACTATTTGTAAAAAATCTCCATATGTTTACTTTGGTTAGAACAATAAAGTGTTCCAATAGCAGAACTCAGTGAATTTCTTGGCCATTTTCACTTTACATAGGGAAATTCTGCACGGGAAGTTAAATCTGCTTCACTGGATCACTTTTTCTACTTTGTTACATGCATGTTTCTAGCATGTTACATATCTCTCTCTCTATATATCCCACAGATGGCTTTGAGGGGATATTTTTGCCCCTTATGAACCAAAAGAAAGCTGTATGGGGCTGGAATGTGCACAGTTTTTTGGTCCAGGGATGATTCAGACATGGCTTTCCCATCTTCTGCTCCCACAGACACCCCCTGGGCATGGGGAATATTTGTGGCCATTAATGAAGCCATAAATATGGCTCCAACTTTCTCTTCCAGTGTCCAGTGAACCCATCATGTCTCCCAAGAAGCCTGAATCAAGCACCATATCTTCAGTGACCTCTGTAGAAAGCCTTGACAAGGAGGTATATATGTATTTGTCTTTGTTTGCAGACTATGTTTCTGTCCAAAGAATTGTTGGTGGTGCCTTTCCTCTTGCTGTTTTTCGCTGCTCTGACCAGAATATTTTCCATCATGGCTGAGAGAAGTGAAAATTCACAGATAGCTTGTATTTCTTTCATATATAAACGATCATTTGTCAGTCCAACATTTCTCAGGTCAATGCAGATCTTTCTGGAAGGATGTAACGACAGTATTAATGCGGTATGATTGCCTTCACTACAACTACATGAATTGTAGTTTCTGAATTTTCATTGGGTTTATGCCTTTTATATTGGTTGGTTTATTTATTTTATTTCTTTATTAAAACATTTTTATGCCGCCCCATTCGCCGAAGCCTCGGGGCAGCTTACAACAATTCGGGGCGGCTTACAACAATTTAACTATGCTATTTATTGGAAAGAAAATATAATGAAAGATCATTTAAAACAAGAAAGGCATGGCTTGTCAGGGTATGCCCAACAAAGTAAATGAACATACAACTCTCATAACATACCTGCATTTTATCAAGCACAGGCACAGATTGGTTTTGTCCATGTTGCTGCGCTAGCCTTGGGCATTTTTGCACTTTAAGTCATTAGCACCCCCTAACCTAGATGAGATCCTTAGGCCAGGATCCGGGACCCCAGAGTATGAGATGGGGTGGGGAAGGTGCCATCAGGGCCATAGAAGCAAGCTTCCTTTTGTTCCTTGCAAAGCAAAACTGCATGGGCTGAGGATATATTTTTAATCAGAGTCAGCAAACAGTTTTGTTGTTGTTCTGACATATAAGGGATGTAGAAACAGAACGTGGAATGACAGCTGTGGGGCAAGGAAAATAGAAATAAAAGTTATGTCCTTCACGGATGAAGTCATGACCACCCAAAGGGGGCCCCATAAAACCACCAAGTCGAGGGCCTAAATTACCTAGCTGCACCCCACAGGGAGCTGCATTGCACCTCCCCAGATGTGAACGAGTTCTGGGCGGGGGGGGGGGGGAGCATGGCTTCTATTCCATGCACCCATCCGTGTGGCAACTGCATTGTTTTCCTGTGCTTTCCTGCCAGAATATCTTGAAGAGAGTTGGCAGCCTGCCCTTGGTTTGTTCTGTCTGTGACTTGGTGTCTTCAAACTACACTTCCATCAAGAGAAAAAGCTCCTACCTTCAGACAGTGTGTGATGGAGCTGAGAAAGGTGTGAAGTCCCTCACAGGAGCTGCAGTCAGCCGGGCACAGCCACTTTTGACGTCGTTTGAACCTCAGAGTGAGTCGATGTGTACACAGTGCAATTGGTGGAATCACTTAGAGAAATGAAAACGAGCCATTCTGGCCCAGTCCGCCCACAATCGTCTTCAGATTTCCTTTCCCACTGCTCACCTCAGTGCACACTCATTATCCAAGTTCTTCTAAACTCAGCAGTCCTCCACACATTCACAGTGAGGACTAGTGCAGTGGGTAGCTTCTCAGGTCTTATAGGACTGCCAGCAAATTCCACAAAGTTCCTGTTCTCATTTGTTCAGTGACTTTTCGTAGTGCTAGTGGCAGGTTCAGGAATGTGATTTTCCTTTCAGGAGCACAGGTAAGGGAAAGAATTAATCTCCCTTCCCTGTATGCTGATCCCGGTCTTCCTCCCCACTGTGACTTGTATTTAACAAAGAAAAACCCCAAAAGAGAGACTGTGTGGCTTAGCGGTTAGCATGCAGGACGAGGACTCAGGAAATCTGGATTCTGGTCCTCACTCAGCATGAAGCTCACTGGGTGAATTTGGGCCAGTCACTGGCTCTCAACCTAGCCTACCTCACAGGGTTGTTGTGATGATAAAATAGAGAAGGGAACCTTGTTAGGCACACTGGGTTCTTTGCACATGGAAGAAGGATGAGGTATAAATACGATGTAAGAAGAATAAGAAGGTTTGGCATTCGCTCCACTACTGGTCCAGCTTAATTCCACTTGTAGCCCATTTCATGACTTTGAGACCCTGTCTGCGTGCATGTTTTAGCCCTTCCATGTAAGATACTGTAACTTTTCCATTAATGTAGCACTGATTATGCACTCCAGTTTTTGTATAACTGGAGAGGAACAGTTGATAATATTTCTTTGGGCTGCTGAGTAGAAAGCTGACTCGGAAGCCTGTAATGAGCACACTCTGTATGGCACTGCCCGTGCCTGTTATCCCAAATGCTTGCCCGCTTCAATCCCTGGAGGGATGGAGCTTCACGGCAGTAAGGTCATGCCGGAGCACATCTGGGAGGACTGCAGTGTGGTGACACAGCACCCTCTTTGCCTCCAGGAGGTCCCAGGTTCAGTCCTCCACACATCTCTGGTTCAGGCTCCCCCTGCCCAAATCCCTGGATTGAGCAGGGGCAGGTTTGGCATAAGCCGAGCTTCTGCCTTTCACTGAAATGAGCCATGCTGCATGTTCTCCCACAGTGGATCATGAGAAGGAAGTACGTGTAGTCCAGTCCCTAGTAACTTGTTCTTGAAAGTAAATTCACCTTCTAGACTGCTGCATCCCATTCTTTAGTTTAAGAATTCAAGGCAGTGATTTCTCTTGCAACCTGCTAGGCAAAATTTTTTAATTCTCGTTGGATGTTATTCTTGAAGGTACTGATGACACCACGAAATGCTCAGCTCTGACACTTCCCCATGTAATTCCTCTAGAGCAGTGATGGCGAAACTTTTAGAGACTGAGTGCCCAAACTGCAACCAAAAACCAAGTATTTATCGCAAAGTGCCAACACTGCAATAAAACCTGAATACTGAGGTTTTAGTATAGAAAAAACAACTCACAGCCAGTCCAAGAAATATATATATATATGCTCGGCAGCACACTGACCAGCCATGCGAAAGCTTGGAAGAGTCGCAGCTAATGCGTCGCAGCTCGAGACACCATTGCCTGGCACCACCATTCCTTTCCCAGCATGCGCATGGCCCCTAGGTGCGCTGTTACCTGATGCTCAGTGGCAGAAGCAATGCGGGGCGGCTTGGGTCTTATTAGACACAAATGACTGTACATGCCCGCATTGGAATGTGTACCAAGTTACAGCACCACTGGCCTAACCAGGCCCTGGTATACTCCCCTAAACCTAATATAGGGTAAAGTTCAATTGAAAATAATGTGGTTTTGAAAAAGCCTTCCTGGAGTACCTTTTTCTGCACAGCTCATCGATTCGGCCCATTCTAAACACATACCAACCATCAAATCTGTGCCAATACACCTCGTTTTTCTAGCCCTACCCAACCCAGATGCACACCCCGAACCCTAATATAGGGCTAAAATTCCATTGAAAATAATGAAATTTTGAAAAAGCCTTCCTGGAGTGGCTTTTTCTGCACAGCTCATCGTTTTAGCCCATTTTACACACATTCCAACCATCAAACTTATGCCAGGACAGCTTGTTTTTCTAACCCTAACCCTACCCTGGTGCACACCCATAACCCTAATATAGCACTAAAGTTCTATTGAAAATAATGAAATTTTAGAAAAGCCTTCCTGGAGTGGCTTTTTCTCCACAGCTCATCATTTTGGCGCATTATAAACACATTCCAACAATCAGACTAATGCCAAGACACCTCATTTTTCTAACCCTAACCCTACCCCGATGCACACCCATAAACCTACTATAGAGCTAAATATCCGTTGAAAATAATGCGATTTTGAAAAACCCTTTCTGGAGTAGCTTTTTCTGCACAGCTCATCGTTTTAGCCCATTTTACACACATTCCAACCATCAAACTTGTGCCAGGACACCTCATTTTTCTAACCCTAACCCTACCTCGATGCACTCCCCTAACCCTAGTATAGGGCTCAAGATACATTAAAAATAATGTGATTTTGAAAAAGCCTTCCTGAAGTAGCTTTTCCTGCACAGCTCATCGTTTGGGCCCATTCTAAACACATTCCAACGATCAAACTTGTGCCAGGACACCTCGTTTTTCCAACCCGAACCCTTCCCTGTGCACACCCCTAACTCTAATATAGTGCTAAAGTTCCATTGAAAATGATGAAATTTTGAAAAAGCCTTCCTGGAGTAGCTTTTTCTGCACAGCTCATCATTTCGGCCCATTCTACAGACATTCCAACCATTAAACTTGTGCCACGACACCTTGTTTTTCTAACCCTAACCCTACCCTGGTGCACTCTCCTA